AAAAGAAAAGAAATCTAATGGTTTTCCACAGCAACAAACCTATGATCCTGATATTTAACTGAGGTAAAGTTGCACAGCACCTAAGTCAGAGTCAGCATTAAACTGAAGGCAACTGTGGAACACCCCAGACACCTCCTATGGACACTGAGCAGGAAGTACACAAACTGCCCCCCATCCTCCTCCCCCACCCGTCTCCAGCGCTACACAAAACATATACAGCCAAAAAAAAGTGAGTTTACTCTACAGTATGTACTAGACCGTACACTGGCCTTGGTTTCTCTGCTGGGAATACGTTAGGAACAGAATAACTTTGGTGCTATTTAAGGTTCCGTCAGAGTCTCCAAAAATCCACAGTTCCGAGGGCTGACATGTGACAAGACAAAGGAAATTGCGTGTCGATTCCCTGCCAACATGAGCTGTAGTCAGCAGCCCTAGCTGACTGTTGTGCTTAGGGGTCCCCAAACTTGACAAGTGAACCCAGGATGACCCCCAGCTGTCTGCATGAGTCGGAGTCAAAGTAGTCGGTGAAACTTTGTCGTTGTTGTTTGTGGAATGTCTAAATAATCTCTCGGTCATAAATGCACAGTGTGCAAATACGACTGGTCCTATTGTTTATCTCAAGAGTTTAGGAAGTAATATGTTTACGATGTCATGGAATTTACAATGTATACTGAACAGAAGTTGTCTTTTATAAATGGAAAATTTAAAAGACAAAGGAGGTAAGTCAAAGACAGAACAGAAATATTAAGACGTACTGTAGAGTCCAGGTTTTGGTTGGACTGAGATTATATGGCGTTGTTAAATTGTTTGTTAAATCATAAAGTATTTGAAACATCGTGAAAATACCTCCTTTAAAAATGCTGCAAACAAAAATGCTCTACAGGATTCAGAAGTTTACCGTCACTATAAAGCAAGTACACTGTCAAAAAGTGAAAAAAGCAAAAGATAAAAAGTGTTTTTATATTGTAGTTTTAAAATTTTCCAGCCAATTAAATGATACATTTTGCTGGAGCGCCGTCTCCGTCTTCACAGTTTTCAGCAGAGTCTTTCTGAGCCTCCAGTTAATGAAGTGCTGATTCAGCAGCCTGCCTCATTGCCTCAATTAGAAGCTAAACGCTTGTTTACTCCCGGGAAAACTTCCACACGTGTCCAAGTTCCTGTAGTGTGACTACTCCACTCTGCCTGTTTAGTTCAGATATAAAGCCATCAAATAACTGTAGCTGAAAAACTGTCCCAAAAGACACAGAGACATAAAGAAACAAAACATTTAGTTTCATTGTCTTTGTCCCATCACCATACTCTGCTCCTCATTCTGTCTAATATAATATATATTAGGATATATGTGTGTGTGTGTGTGCATATATATGAGAGTGTGTTCAGTATAAAAAAAAGTATTCCAACAGAGGTCAAAGAAAGCACAACATAACCCAGGGAGCTGATGTGACATTGACACTCTCCTTCCACCTCCTCCCTCACGGCACCACGTCAACATTATGGTACATATTACTTATTCATGCCCGGTCTATTTGTGTATCGACCTTAGCAAACAGAGCTGTTGCTTTCATTCAGAAAGGCAAAGCGTAAAAAAAAAAAAAAAAAACAGGAAAAATGAAGCTTGCTGTTTAACTGGACTACGAGAGTATCCTGAGGCTGCATGTTCTCTCTGGACGACGTTTCCTCCCTCAGCAACACAGCGTACTGCTGATGTGGTAGAGGAAATGCTGTTCCCCCAGACGTTAATGTGTCATGTCAACTCGGCAGCGAAACGCCATGCACTTTAACTTCGGGTGCAGAAAATAAATTAAGCGCTTCCTTACACTTGTCTTTGCTTTTCCTTAGCTGAGTGGGCGGCAGATGAGTTATTTTATCAACAAGGATAAGAGAGATTCAGTCTTAATGTTGGGCAACCCATAACCCTGACCTTTTTCTGTCTCAGCAGAGAAAAGAATGTGTGATTTAAGTGTTTGAAAAGCTACTCTGAGGTCATCTACAAAATATATAAGACCAGGGCTGCTAACAAAAAGCCTAAATATTTATTAAGTACAATGAGATAGATGGATGGATGGATGGATGGATGGATGGAGGGATGGATGGATGGATGGATGGATGGATCTGTATTAAACTCTCAGGAGTTCTAAGTAATTATTACATCTGTACTTTATGTATGTGGGCATGGAATTAGGTTCTTATACCTAATATGTTCAAGTCTGCGTCAGTATGTATTGTACAGCCTGACACTACAAACACACAGTGCTCATCTGAATTATAGATGTCATATTTACACGTCTGCCCTTCTGGCATCATTCTTTGTTTCTGCTACGGAGCTAAAGGCTCAGAGCAAATCAGTGGAAACAGAAAAGATGAGGTTTGTAGTAGAGAGAATTATGTTGTGTGATAGTCTGAAGCCAAAAGTGTGAGGTGATATACCAACTGTTTGACAGCAGGGCACACAGACAACACTGAGGTAGGATGTCCAGGGAACTATGTGATCTTACACTCCATAAACCTGGGGAGTGATAAAAGTTCAACTGGTCCTGGGGGGGGGGGGGGGGGGCCGAGTCAGTGCGCCGCTCACTTGTCAAAGTTGTACTGGAATATGGATCGAAAGCAATAACCTCACAGGCAGTAACACTACAGAGAGATGAGTCTATTGAGTCCAGCAACAGATACCATTGAATTTCTCACCTCATCAGTGAGAAATTCAATGGAGAGGTAATATTTAAATTCAGAGACATATCTGAAAACATCAGTGACATCTAGAAATCAAGAAGTTTCACTTTGAAAGTGAAGTGTTTGTGAAGCAATCAGAAGATTAAAATTGATGTTTTAATCTCTATAACCTTTTTGAAACAAACAGTTCAAACTCATTTGTACTTGTTACAGCGTCATCTATCCATCCATACACCTGTATGTAGTCACATATTTCTCTTACGAAGTCCTCAGTCCACAAATCTTGATCATCACTAATACTCTATAATGCAGTTGAAACACTGTGACTATGGCAACAACTACTGTAGGTGACACAGACATTTCAGGGCAGATCCTTTAACAACAAACAATCCTCTCCTTTTTACTTTTAAAAAGAAATAATAATCAACAATCACAACTCGAGTCGTGAACAAAGAAAAAGGTCGGTTCAATTAGGAACCTAGAAATTGATGGAAGGACAGCAGTGTCATCTGCAGAGAGGTTTTATTTATGTAACAGTCAGATGACTCCTACAATGTGGCTCGATATAGACCTTCACTCCTGGGGGAATTTTATACGGCTATATTTGACAATATTCTGACACCACCGTTAAAACTCCCAAAATAGGGAAATGACTGATGTGAATGAATGTGAAGCCACTGATGCTGGTCAGTTTAACAGCTTATTCAGACATTTAATAATCTCTTTTCCCCAATCATCCTAATGCCTCCAAAGCTCTGAGTTGCACTGCTGTGTGTTTCTGCCTGTGGTGCCTTCTCCACACATGGTTAAACACATTTTCCCCCGACGTCCATCGTCCATCAACTTTAATGACATCTTCATGATCAGTTTACGTAAGAACTTTCTTTTTTCTTCTTTTGTAAATTCAGTCACGTCCAACTGGAGCAGCAGCTAAACTGAATAATACATCTGTACATTTGGAGCGGGCTCTTCTGAAAGAGTCTCCAATTTTCTAGTTTCTTTTTCTTTTTTTTTTCTTTTTTTTTCCCTGTCACAAGCATGAGCATGTGCTCAGCTCTGCTGGTTGTCACACAGAGCGCCTTGAAAGTTAACTGTAAGATACAGATAAAGAAACGCCAAACACGACTATAAAATAATGTGAAATACAAAGCTGAAAACACACCAGCGGTGAGATGATTCATCTATTACCAAGCAGGATGCCTGCAATGAAGAGCAATTCTACAATCTTAGCGCTCTGTTTGATAACAGAGGGAGCCTTCAGGGAGCCTTCAGGGAGCCTACGGACCAGACCATGCAGGTATGGTTGCATGCTAGTTGCAAGTTGCAATTTCTCATTGTTCAGTCAGTGTATGGAATGTACGCTGATATATGGCCATGACGCTGCAAAGGAAATTCAATATAATATAGAAGGAGGTGAAGAGAGTGAAGTATATTATATTTTGTCCATAAGTTAAAAACTCTGTTTTGTTCTTAATCTCTAAATGCTCAAAATGGTGATAATTTGTAAACAGAATTCCACTTTTTAACAAATTGCCATTGTCTAACTCAGTTATAAAAGGGCATTAGTAAAACAGGTTTGGTGATGCTGGGCATATTAAATTTTTTTTATGTAACTTGAGTTAAGCAAAACAAAAAATTTGTGAATGATTGAAAATGATTTAAATCTGAATGACTGATAAAGAAAGTTTAAGTCTGATGAGGTTTGACGATTACTGAGCGATAGGCAGGAGCAGCAGAAGGGCTCGGAGCAACAGGAGGAGAATTTTTGACTAATTGTACGCATCAATTTCAGGTGGGGAAAATTGAAGAGGTTTCCTTCCTGTAGTTCTATGAGGCCAGTGGAGCTGGAGGCACACAGTCAAATTGCCCAGTCATAGAACTCATTAGGGCAGCAGATGCTACCATCTGTAACCTCCTCCTTATTGCACTTTGTTTTGGTCTGTGCATGCGCCTCAGGGTGGCAATGACCGAGTTAATGGTTCGGTGAGATGGAGGGGAGGGGCAGGAGGTAAGGATGCTGGGCTCCTTAGTCCATGTAAGACACACACACACACACACCCTCATACTGGTCCTCATCACACAAATGTTCTCTGAGCATTCATTCAAGCCTAGGACACTCATACAGCCAATCACACACATGCTGCAGAGGTGAGAGGCAGGACACACAGTTTGCTATTTAAAAATAGAACAGCAACGAAGAAGAAGTTAGTTGGAAAGGGGCAGAAAATATTACTATCACAGAATGAAGGAGAGGGGGGGGAACAAAAGAGGAGTTGTCAGCAGGGACTAGGAGTATCAGCAGATCAAATGAAGGAGGGATGTGGACAAACCTTCGGGTTCTGCGCTCTCTTTGTGGACGGCTTGCTTCAATGGGCAGCAGAAGATTTCGTGACACTTAGCACGAAAGGGGGACCCTTTACTCCTTATATCCGCAGAGTGGATGGAGTCCTGCCGTAACATAATGTACTCCTGGGTACCTGGGGCAGCATCATCCTGGACTGCAGCGGTGCCATAACAGAATGAAGTGGGGTTAGAAAAATCACCACACACAGAAATTCAAAATAACAACAACAGTAAAAACACAAGGTAGAAACATAGGCAAATGAATGAAGAGTGTCATTTTTTTAAAACAAAAGTGCATAAAATTTAACAAAAAATATCATAAAATAAATCAATAACAACAGGAAGGAAAAAAAGAAGGAAAAAACAAATGCACATCAAAACTTAAGCTTGCACTGAACCAGGAACTGGTACTTATCGTCATATAGTTCTATGGTTGGTAGTGAAGGCGAAATGCAATGCAAACGTGCACTCCTCCATTATATCTAAGAGTTCACAACCATTTATTAATAGAATTAGGTGTAAGCAAGCAGATGTGTAGACATGCACAAGCCCTGGGTCACAGTGAGGAGCCAGGTTTACATTCATGAAGTCATGCTTTAGTTAAACCAGGACCTCCTTTATATGTGGCACTAAATCTACTGGGATCCTGTTAAAAAGCCTTGCATTCCTGTGTGGACAGTGAGCTTCCGTCCTCATCTGAGCACAGACTCTGCCAGGCTTCAGTCTTTGACCTATTTTATTTCTGTTGATGGATTACTGGAGCTGCAAACGAATCACTCCAAATAACATTTTTCATTTGTTTCCTAATGGATATAAGAGCCAAACCTCTGCGACACATTTACTACCTAATGAAAATTAAAAAGGAGCCGCTGCATTTATAACATTTATAAAATTTATGAAATCCAACAGTAACAGGTGACCCAGTTTCACACACCCATCGTTGACCTGATTTCTGCTTTTTTCAATGTAGGGGAAACATATCCAACTCTAAGACAAAGAAAATACACATTTGGTTCTGTTTTTTTTTTTCTTTTTCAAAAAGCTGAATCATAACGCTACAACATAATAGGGGACATAGGGGAAACTCTAAAATATCTGCAGGAACAAAACACACAAAACACAGAGATTACTGTGACGGTGCAAATGGAAACAGCTCAGCTGCTCAGTTTAAAGTGTTACTGCTCAGCACTACTATAAGATTGCACCCCCTCTCTAGTCAAACCACACACCTACTCAACGTTGTAGATTTGCCCCTAATTCACAGATGTGCGTCTGTTCATGAAATCATTTAAAATTATGTATATATATATAATTAAAATCCTGTTTTATATAAAGCTTCAAATGACTGTCATTTGAATTTCATTATTTTTATTCCAGCTTGGCCTACAGGGGTACACGGGATACCCAGCCCATATTTACATAGAGTGACTCCTAACTCTGAACCGTGGCGGACATGTGGGTTCTGCCTGCTAGAACATAGACACTGTCATTGACACGGTTCTTTAATATGTACAGTATAAGGAAACGTCTTGGTTCAGACTTCAAGACACTTGGGATTTACTGTTCACTCTGATATAAATATTTGTAAATAGTTTCATAAAAGTCAGGGGGGAAAATGCAGATCCAATCTCACACTGTCTCAGCCATACCCATAAACTGCACCGCGAATACTAAGGACAGATACAAAAACTATTGCCTACTTGCCAGAGAGAGAGCAGATCTATTACCAACCAGAGGAGCCAGTACCTGACGTAAGACTCCTGATGTTTTGGAAACAAACAAAAAAGAAAATAATCAGGGTTCCATATCCAGTGTAACTAATCAGCCGCAGCTTTTCTCCTACTGGACTTATCATGAACTGCTCTCCTGAAAAAAAGAACCCTTTTCTAAAAGAATATAAAGTGTGTTAGAAATAGAACTGTGTTTTGATGTTTTTGTCCAGAGACGGTTGAACTAATGCCACTCAATTTGAACTCAAAACAGTCTGCACTTCTGCAGCAGCAGCAGCAGAGGAATATCAATGTTTATTAATTTACAAAGGCTTGAGTCAATCCTGGCTTAGACTGACTGATCAATGGTGAGAAAACACTATAAGACAACTGGAAGGAGAAGAGAAGAATCATTAACAAGAAGAATCTAGACTGAACTCCAGGATACACATTTTCTCACCGCAGAATTTGAAGTCTTTTCAAGACTTTACTAAAATGTAGAATTCTTAATGTGTTATTGTTATTTTATTTTAAATAAAGTTCTTAGAAACTAGTCATTTATACTTTAATGCATTTTACGACAATAGTGAGGGGTGAATATCAGATTTTAGTTGTCTAGATCCTGTATTCTTCACTTTTTGATTCCTCCATGAATACAAAGCTGGGGTGGAAGATGTGCGCAGGTGGATGAGTGAGGGTGGATCAGATGAATAAACGCCTGTTTCCACTCCCTGTTTATGAAAGACATCAGAGGTAATAAAAGTGAGTGACGTGGAACCAGGAGGACGAAGAAGAAGGGAGGGCTGGCCACCATCTTTTACAGCCTGTCTCCTTCATCCTTCTCACAGCCTTGGTGAAGAATGGATATTGGGATTGAAGAATTCTTGATCGATGTAGCGGAGTGGCCCAGGACCTTACTCTCTATCAGAGCTGCCGCTAGTTAGAGTACGCTGTCACCCGGGTTCACGAAGGGTGGTGATCTACAGGCGCTAGTGCGGCTACACTGCACCGTCACAAGACAGCAATAGATGTCCTTCAACTGTGACAGGAATAAATCTGACAGTAAGGAGACGTGGGTACAAACAGAAAAGGGCTGAGGTTGTACGTTAGTACAACACAACACTCAGCCATGGATCGCCCAACATTGAACGGGTGTGTTCAGGTAACATGAACTGTGTTTTTGTATTTCTATATTGGACAGGGCTGCAGAGCTGCAGAGGTTCTATATAAAGACCTGAAGTTTCTCCATCGGCTTCTGTCAGGCCTATAGTGTCAATACGATCCAATGGGGAATGAGGGTAAATACAAAATCTAACTTCATCAGTCACTAAATACAGACACAATACTGCATATTAAGTCATGCTGATGTAACTCCCTTCAGGAGTTTACAGGAGGAAAGTACAGACCATTTCTTTAGGACTAATTGCAGGCTCCAAAAACTAGTGTAGGCTGAGACATGGAGGGATATAATTAATTCATGTTTGAATAAATGAAACAACCTTTTTCTCTTATATACAGCTCTTTAATTTCCAACATATATAACACTAAACCACCAGTCTCCTGAACTATAGTCTAAATGAGTCTGTGGCAGTAAAAATTAACCATCACCAGTGACACTGAGCGTTTAAAAATGTCACTGGCGTCACGTTCAGACGGAGTTCAAGGACGTGTGTAATCAGCTGGAGTTGAGTCCAGATCAGGAGAAAATGAACGGCACCATACGGTACCTCCATCCATGAGCTGAAATCTGCACAATTATTCCAGTCATGGTTCATATCCATCAAGAAAGTGGAACACTTTCATCATGACTCGACTAATGGCACTCTCCTTAAATTAGAATCAGAATTAAGCACACTTCTGTAGCCTAAGGTTTGTGATTCAAAAATAGCTCGTCCTCGCCGTGGTTTGTCAAGGAGCAGAATCTAGAACAATACCTGTTGAAATGCCTTTCATTTTGCTCGGATCCATCTTGTAAAAAAAAAAGAAAAAAAGTAAAGTAAAGTTTATTCTGGGTGGAAGTCACCTTGCAGGCTGCGGAGGGAGTGAGTGAAGTTGAACTTGAGTTTGTCTTTCCCACTCAGAATGACCGTGCTTTTTTATTCACACACTGACAATCTGCTGAGTCCGTCCTTTCTCACTCTCTCATTTTTCCCTTTCTTTTTTTTCATTACTGTTGCTGTTTCTTTAAACGGAGGAAAAAATAAATTTGTACTATAGATGTTGAGGAATTACAGAGTGTTAACGTTCAACGCTGTCTGAGCACATCTGAGTAAGTGAGAGTCTGACTCCATTAGCATGAAGAGGAATGATGCATAAAATATGAAGTGAAACATTATCTGTCAGTCCTGGTGATAACAGCACAAAGGGCTCCGCTCTGCATTTATTTACATTAATGCAGCGTAAGGAAGGAAGCTGTGAATCAGCCGTAGGGTGCAGTCACTCTGTCCCTTATTTACTGTACAAGAGAGGTAGGACAGCAACAGTCACTGCCATTTAAAGCTTAGGTGGTTCTTTCAGCTTTATTCATTACGTTTTATTAATTTAAGAGAAATTTACAGGAAAACTGGCATTTAATTTAAACAAATAAAAACAATGAAGTCAGATTTACGGGTCTAAGTTCCACTTTAGTCGTTTTCTTTACTTCATAAAAGTTGTTTTAAGTACGACGTATTTAGATTGTTACTATATCTGCAGCGCCCCCTTGTTGCAGACATGGTTATTGTTGGGCCTCCACCTTACCATATGCACAGAAACTTTATTTAAAACACTGAATCCCACTTATGGATCCACCGTTCAGTCAACTCCAATGTAATAAATATAATTATAATTATTTTGGTCTCATCTAACTGAGGCATTTGAATGAAGCCGGCATCAGGCGTCACTTGAAGTTTCTTGTCTTGAAGTTGTTTTAAAGCCGCAGTTTCATGTCCTTCAGTCACACAAAATCCACAGCGTTGTTCAGCCAATGAATGTGCACAGGTGCTTGCATAAGAGGATAATAAATGGGCAGCAGAGGAGAACACTTAACACACTGCTGCCTGCGGTGTCAAACTGACATGTGCAACAGAACACACACACACACACACACACACACACACACACACACACACACACACACACACACACACACACACACACACACACGGTTGCGTGAAAAAGAATTGAGCCAGCTTCAGATAAAAGATTAAAAAGATGAAAAGCCCATTTTCGTTGCTTCTCTTCAGCTCGTCAACTCACAGTTGAGTGACATTTACAGCTCTACGTTCCATTTTCCACCCGTTTACCTACATGTTTGTGTCTGATGGTACTGTATGGACGTAGTATATCACACTGATTAAACTGGTAATCCGTTTATCACCAGATGCCAGGCTCAGTTTTTGTATGCTGTCCAACCTTGAACCTTGATATTATGTGGAATCAGTTAAGCATGTGTTCCGTACATCCGT